CTTGATTTGAGAAGATACAGACTACAAAACAGAATATATCTGCCAGTGTAGTAAGAGAATTACACTTGCTAATATTCCCTGAAATATGAAAAAATATTTAGGCTTTAGAAAATGAGCAATGTCTATATGTACATATATATTTGAAATAAGTGGTAAAACACTAATCCAAGCACTGTATTAAGTCAAATATTGGGGATGAAATTGATTAAAATATTCATTATCATCTTTACTATTGTGTCTGTAGTGAACTGGCTCTGCCATCACAGTGTCCATCAGTGGGTTCATCACTTTGGTCCAGACTGAAATATCTCATCAACTATCAAATGACATTTGGTGCATTCGGTACGTTTTCACTTACTGTAAATATACCTCAACATAAAATAGACTTATTGGGAGAAATTTGGTTCAGTTATTCCATCACCATCACCAGGTCAAAATGTGTCCACAACCTAACTAATGACCAGAGCTATTGTAGTTTTTATTTTCATTTCTTTTCGTTTTTCATTTTCAATTTTTGTTGCCAATTCAGTTTAGGTTTAGTTAGTTCAGTTTCAGGTCATTTTAGTTTAGTTTTTATTGTTTAAAAAGTTAGATTTTTTACCTTCGATGACAGTTAGTTATTTTTTCAATAACAATATAGCGGTGTTTGTCAGGGCAAGATTTAAGATGTTTAGAACAGGTATTACATAAAACACTTTGTGAAGGCAAGTGACGCCCAATCATGTAGACATCCCAGTCTCAATAAACATACCATATCTGCCAACACCTCCTCATGCTTGTTGTTTTGAGAAATTCAACCAAATTGACAAGAACTAAAACTTAAGACATTACCTGTATATGTTTATTTTAGTTTAGTTTGTACACTATCACTTCAGTTTTCATTATTTTCTGAAGAGTCCCTACAACTCACTCAAGAACCCCAGTTTGAAAACTACTAGGCTAGAAAACCAGAAACAATGAGCTAACAAAGGCTAAATGTTCTGTAAAGCAGAGTGAGGGTGATGCTGATTCTCTGAGAATGACTCACATCACACATTATCTATTTCAGCCCTTGTTATTTTAAAAACAGAAGTGTTAACCAGGTTAGAAACAACAGCAACAGCATGTTCAAAAGTACACCAGGTTCTAAAATAAGGCCATCACTGTGTCAGAGATATCAGATCAAAATGTGATCTCTCTCATATTCAGGTTGTAGCTCAAGGCTGAAAATGTTAATATTTCTCTCTTTTTTCTCAAGCACAGGCAGTATCCCATTTTAATGAAATCTGAAGACCTTAACCTTGCATTTAGGCTCACTGCTGTGTGTACAACTTATCTGTATGGGAAAGCTATCCAGAGACAACCCTGCTCTTTATCATCCGCTTGATAATACAGAACAACTAATAGTTTAGCAGAAAGATGGATAACACACATGCCTGTTTTTGGGTTTGCAGGAATCACATTTCCACCACGACTTTCCCAGAACTGCCCACAGCTGGTCTTCGTACCCCGAAAAGCCCAGCATCTCTCATTGCTCAGCAGCGCCGCAGCCGGAGTCATGGGATCACTATGATAAATATTTACAGAGGCCAGGGATTCCAGCTAAGAGGCAACATGTTATAGAAGAGACTCATTGTGGATGGATACAGAGCTGACGAGGAGCTCGGGAAAGCCAAACCAGAGAATATATGTTTATTAAACAGCGGACAGGTCGGAGACAAGGACCCCAGTGCGATGCCCCTGTGGCTCAGTGTCCCAGTGATGATACAGCTCATTGCTATGAGTCTATTTCCTGTGTCCTCATGCTATCAGAAACGGCTTACTGTGGCTTTAAGATGACATGCAGTGTGGGCCTGTGGACCCACGTCTCTTATCAGCCGATCACTCAGAGGAGCAGTTAAATCTAAAGCCAGGCCAGGTAAACAGAGCTGCAGGCATGCAGGGGGACCTTAATGAGCCCATTGTGCTGCACACTGTGTGGGGCCCAGAGCACAGGGAGAGGAGGGGGCCATTCTCATTTTTGGTCTCATATTCAGTCCTGAAATATTATATTCCCGTTAAGTTGAGAAAAATTCTGCCAAAAGAATTAGATAATCACAGGTGTTTTCAATGCATGTTTGCAATGAGATCAAGCTGAATAGGGCGGATAGTTTAGTAGTTAAAATGACGAAAACCTTATTCAAAGTGTTACAACTGCCTTATTTGAGCTGGATGGAGTTCTTTCCTTTCCCTGTCAATTGTGTTTTTGTTTTTACTTAAATTGTAATTGGTGTCTCCCTCAGAAAAAAGATTTCAATCTTAAGGGACTTCCTGGTTAAATAAAGGTTAAATAAATATATAGACATATATAATAAAATACAGGACCAGTGGGGAGGATTTAGTGGCATCTAGTTGCTAGTGCTAGCCCTGAATCCAAACTCCTCTACTACTAATAAAAACAGCACAGACGCTTTAGAATGATCACAACTGCGCTTCTCGGACCTGAATCTCCATGATCATGTCCCGTCAGCTCCGCCATGACCCTATCAGGTTCAACACTGTGCTGAGAGGGAATTGTAATCTTCCCTGAATGCCTCTATTCAGCCCACCTGCATTAAGTCCTGTCAGGTGAAAGTGGAGAGAAGTGAAAACACAGAGTGCCTCAGGTCACCCCAGAGGAGTGTTTAAAGCAGCCATAAGTGCAGGTTGACACTGAATTCCACAAGCGCTTTCTCCACGTGGCTGGGGAACAGAGGGGGCATTGAGCAGAGGGGCTGGGAGGAGGGGGAGAGGGGGTGGGAATGTGGACGATGATGGGCGCCGCTGGGTGGGCACTACACAGTCAGGGTTTCCATGTCATGTTTTCTTCTTTTTCTTATATAGTCCTGTGGGAAACTACAATACCCACAAGCTTTACACAAGGACATGGTCATACAAGAAAATGACACAGCAAAAATGTATTTGCCAAGCCAAAAAGGTTCCTTTTTTACACGTAGAAGTCAGGTTAGGGCTTTCTTATGGAACTGGGTAAGTTCATAATAGTAATAATGTAATTTGCAAAGACATAGTTATTTTAGCTGTCTTTGTTTTCTGATTTAGTTATTTTATATTTTCTTAAATTGTGTAAGTGCTTTTGGGTGTCAGGTTAGTGCTGTTCAGTTTTTATGATATAAGTCTTTTGTTTCTTTTCTTTTGTCTTCCAATCTTGGGGCAATATTGTAAGTGTTTTCACTTTACCATGTTATACCTATTTTTACCTATTATCCCTATCCCTGTGTCTGATAATCCATAAATATAAAGTTAGGTTATCCTTTATTGATCCCTATTCGGATATCTGATCCAGCAGCAGTGAGCAGTGAGCACCAATGTGCAGCCCCAGAGACCACTCCAGTTCTAAGCCAGTACCTTGGTCAGGGCTACTAACAGGATTAACCTAACATGATGGCAGAGGAAACCCATGCAAACACAGGAAGAACATGCTAACCCTGCACAGAAGGGCCCAGCCAGGATTCGAACCAGAGCCTTCTTGCTGTGAGGCGACAGTGCTACCCTCTGGGCCACCGTGCTGTTCTCGCATTGTTTCTATAACCCATCATTTTCTACTTCTGGGGATAATGCAGAGAGCAAGTATGGACACCAGAGATAAGTTACTACTGCTTTAAAGGTCTTTCATAAGAAGTGGCTGCAAAAATAAATAAATAAGAAAATCAATCAATAAATAAAAACATGCTAGCTTGCCGGTAACACACTGGCAATAGCCTGCCAATGGCTCAATAAGCTATCTGGGTTGCTAACAGACCTGTCATTATTGTTTATTCAGGAGACATTTCTTTATATTTTAGCTTCCTCTCCTGACTGCAAACAATGCCACATCTTTTACGTTTACGTTTATACTAAATTGGATGGTGCGACACAGCCCACCTCTCTCCCTCATTTCCTGAGATCTCTCTAATATTCCAATCTAACAAAGACTTACAATGACCCCAAACATAATAATCATAATAACATTGCTGCAATAAATGCTGGTTAACGCTGCCCTTACAGTGTTCTTTTAGTTGACTATTATACATCAGACATGAAGTCATTCTTTGGAATTAAAGAGAAGACAGCGGGCAGGATTTCAAAGTATTAGAAATCAGTAGTCACTTTTATATTTAGTGCAAACTCTAAGATTGGTGTCATCTCATCTGACACGATTGTTCATTTTCCAAACTTTTTTAAACTGTGACACCTTTCCATAGTGATTTTTTTCACAGACACTGCTCTAGAGCTTTCTCTGGAATGCTGCACTGTTTGATACATTTTCCCAGCAGATGAGGAATTCCAGTGCGGGACAGCAAGCCTCCCCTCCTCTGTAAGCCAAGCAGCTTTCAGTGGACTGTCTAATGTCAGTTTCTGTGGCTGGCTCAAATTCAGACCGCTGAGGACTCAGATGATTCAGCAATTTTTGAAGTCTATTCACTCTGACCTATTTTGCCCTTCTCTTTGTACTCTTTAGTGTTATGCGTAGTCTTTATCTGAAAGGTTTACTTTATTTTTTATAAGCATACTACAACAAAAATGCGAAGGAAATCATCTCACAAATCCCAGATGTGGCCCATTTTAAGCAAGTTTTTAACTTGAATGATTTTGATGTTTATTTATGATCTTGGCATATCTTATAATGTGAAATGAAAATGTATGTAACATAAATTTAGCAAAGGTTTTCATCATAATTGAAACAACCGACAAAAGAAAGTAGAGTGGAACCAATGGCATTTGTGCGAGTGAATTATATTACACTGTTTTCTTTCCTAAGCAACACTGGGAAGTTGCCAAGTCCCCAGAGCAGTAATGAATTTGGTGACAGAACATTTTATTATATATATATATATATAAAACAGAGCTGTGTTGTTTTGAGTAAAGATGTACTGTATCAGAATCTTACTGTCAGGTAAACCACTGTTAGGCAGGACTAGGCAGTGAATCCTGCTTTTATCAAGCTGAGTTCTCTCCCATACCCGAGAGATAAAAAGAGGTCTCTGATCTGTGCAGACATTGTCCCTAAGAATGGGGTGCATTGTACATTTACTAACAAGTATGAGTGGAGCTGGCTGCACTGTCTGGCCTGTTTTATCAGTGAACTCCCAGCATGCTGGCACACAGCAGCCGTGCCGACAGTCAATGCCAGGGGCCACGTTCCTCCTCTCCATCACACCAGTGTGAATCTCCCTGAGCTGATTTATCGTGAAGCCTGCATCTCTTTCAGCCTCTGCCAAAAACCAGAGTTGGAGTCAACCTCAAAGCAAGCCTGGGATGTTGTCCGGCCAGAAGTCTGACTAGCTTGCTCCGGTAACACACAGTACGAGGCGGCTGGCCTACCTTGGGGTCTGGTTTCCCCGTCATGGTCTTGAGCAGCTCGTGGAGGTGAGGCCAGTTGCCCTGGGAGTACCAGCCGGGTTTGTCCAGCGACGGCAGGCCCTCGCTGTCCTCCACGTCGTTCACTGGAGAACAGGAAAGAGAATCAGACGCCACAGATTGACCAAACAGCCAGCTGCTACACAGCTCGCACCAAACCTCGTCAGCTAAACCTCACCACAGCACTCACCAGCCGGCCCACAAGGAGACAGAGCAGCAGAGTGTGAACTGTATGGACTGCTTCCAATACTCCCACTACCGCAGTGGCACTGGACCAGCTAACCTCTTCAGGATAATAAAAAAATACTGTTTTTGGCTAACTGCACAACTCACCTGAAACTGCAACACTGAAGCACAAATTGGCATTGCTTCATTTGAAAGCATCACAACATGAAAAGGTTGGGTAAGATTGTGAAGCACTGCATTAGAAACTCTACTACTAGAGTTCATTAAGGAATTGCTGTGTTATACAACTATGCTTTTCTTTCATTGTCTCTATTTCTCAGTCTTGTGCAGTGTTCACTTTGTCAATACAAACTATGACAAAAACTATTTACCAACAACATTTTATCCGTGAAAAAAACAAGAAGAAAACTAAACAGAAAGTAACCTTTGAAAACAAAAACGTCTTCAATAATCTAAACAATGCAAACAAATACCCAGACTGGGAGCTCGTGGTAGTAGTTTACACTGCTAGCATAGGAGCTAACATAGGAAAAGGAGCACCAGAACCGGAGCCGGGCGAGTGGGCAACTGAACCGGGTTCCCAGCCTCCGAGACTGACAGAGACACGGTTATTTACAATGGCTCCGACCAGGAGCTTGACTATGGGGAGGATGAAGACACAGCGGGGAAGGGACAGGAGGGGTATGAATCGGGAGAGGAGAGAGGCTCAACTGTTATTGGAAGACAAATCAAAAAGGGGTGGGATTTAGGAATAGTCAATTACACTGACAAAAAAACATCTGGGACAAACCCCAAAAACACAACATTAAAAAGGTAAGCTAATTTAACATCACAACAGTAACATTAGCATGATTTTCTGTTGGCTATCTATCTGTTTATAGGCGATCAGTAGGAATTAGTATGTGATTAATGTAGGCTAACTCTTCATCTAGATTTTTGCTAAAGAAATATTACTGCATTTAACCAATGTTTTAGCTGCTCATTTCAAGTTAAACAAGGTGGTTCGCATAACGTAACAGAACCATTTTAGCCAGGACACTCTCAGAACTTATTCCTATCTCAAGATAGATCTCTGTTGAATAAAGTTCAAATAAATCCCCTTTATATATGAGTAAAAAATCATGATGAAAGAGGAAAAAGATCAGGGAAAAGGTCTAACTTAAGCTACTATGATTCTATGTGTTGGTAGTCACTCTCTCCACAAAGATATTTAAGCTGCTGTTGATGCGTACTGTATTTCAGAAGCCATCGACTCAGCAGGGGGAGGGGAGAACCAGGCTGTGGGAGAAAGCAGAGCAGCGGTGACTGGTCCATTCAGATCCAGCTGTGCACCTCTCGTTTCAGTACAACCCCACTACGCATCACCACGTGTCGGCCAGGAAAACTTCCAAAACCTCACATTTACCCTCCAAAAATGTCGTAGCTATGCGTTCAGCCATGCAAAACATCCAGCCTTTCTGAGCCCGTGAATAATGACTGAGGGCTATAAGTTTTATGTTTGCCTAGAAGAAAAAGTGAAAAGTTGCTAGGCTGATAAAAATCCTTATTTTGTAATTTAAACGTTGACAAAATCAACATAAATGCAGGCTAATTACAGCAGCTCTGTTGTGTATACAGTACGTCTATACTGATACAGAAAGTGAAAGTACAAGGAGAAAGTTAGAGGGGACTACCTGTCTTATTAACTTTACTGGCACACAGCCCCCAACCTCACTGAGCCGGCATACGTCATCGCTTTGGAAAAGCTCCCCGCACACACTGAAACACCAAGCCAGCATTTTTGAATTTACACACAAAGCTCCTTTTGGGGGAAAGAGAAACACAGTTTGAGCCTGGACAGAGGGCTGAAACTGAGAGAAAAGACCCCATTACAAATGCAACCAGCTTTATGCTGAAAACAGCTGCGAGCAGTGACTGGAAAGGAGGTCGATGCAGGCGGCCAGCTTGAACAAAACAGTGAAACTGTGGGCAGTCAAAACAATGATCTACAGGGCACCCGGTTAGCTCAGTTGGTAGAGCTGGTGTCCCATGTACCAAGGCTGAGTCCTTGCTGCAGCGGCCTAGGGTTCGAATCAGACCTGCGGCCCTTTGCTGCGTGTCATCCCCTCTCTCTGCCCCCCTTTTCCTGTCTGTCTTCAGCTGTCACTATCAAATAAAGGCATAAAAAGCCGAAAAAAATATACTTAAAAAAAAACAATGATCTGCTACAAAGCTCTGTAGAGCTCACTTTTACACAAAGTCTGTTTTTTCAATTGTTAATCTAAAAATATTTAACCGTGCAACTTTAAACTCGAATTTCTGTATATAATTTTCAAGTACCAAAAAATATATTCATTTAGCCATTGCATGACTTCAGGTTGCAACACCACAAAGGTCACGAGTGCTGCATACTTCCAGAAGATGGTGTACTTGAAGAATTGGTGACAGATTTAGCGTGAGCTCTGTAGTTTACTGCTGAAGGACGTCTTATTAGCGGCGTGTTGATACTATCATTCATCAAGAGCACACAGAGAAGCGCTTTCCCTGCAGGCTGACTTAATATAAAAAAAATGTTGCAGATGTTCAAGAGGGTGCAGTTAGTGTTTACTGTCCACTGAGCAGGCAGAGCACTCAATATGAATTATTACAGCTCTAAAGCAGAGTTATACAGTCCAGATTGTATTCACTTATGGCTGCAGAACCATGACTCTATATGGCCTTCTGAGCTGAGCTGTGGACTCTCAAGATATTGACATAAAACAAACAATTTATGAACACAGACAACTATCAGGCTTTTATTAGACAGTTTCAACAGGGGGTATGTTTGTGTCTCTATAAATAGATTATGTGTGGGATACTCCAACAGTCAGTAAATGAGATTATGAAGGTGAACATATCAGCAATCAACCAATCAAAGAATTATCATGCTATTAGAGCCTGTTTACACCTGGAATTAACATGCTTCTTGGGTTAAGTATGTCAGTTTAGACCTGAATGCATTAGAATGCATCTCCACATGCGTCTCGAGTGACCGCTTGTAATCGGATCTCACTTCCTCGCTCTATATACAAATAAACGCTTTCATGGCGGTGTACCATACTGAAAATTTTGTCAGTCAATGTCAATTATCACGGTCCTTTTTATTTTTCAGTTCAACAGCACAATAGCTTGTCACTATTACCTGCGCTGTCAGCAGCCCTGCAAAAGAGATGCTGGTGCGCTGTGGGATGCTTTAACTGAACTTTATGAGCAGGACACACACTTTTGCTATTTCTACTGTGTGGAAATCTGATGTTTTCCCATCACAGATGCCAGAGAAAGGCATTAATGGCCGTGTGCATCCTGCTCCCACCATGAAGCGTCCTGCCGCTAGGCTGGCAGTCCAGCAGTCACTCACAGTGGAGAGCAGTAGAGGAAGTTGTACTGCAGTCTAGCCAACACGGTGGGAAATAACAAAGTGAGAAATAACTTAATGTGTAACATTTACCAAATTTACAAGAAGGCCCAAATAATTAACAATCATAAATGTCATAAATAAGGTTACACAAAGATTATAGTTTATGTAGTTCAAACAGACAGTGTGTACACAAACATCTGCTGCTTATCTCGGCAGGTAAAAGAGCCCAAAAACATCATCTGCATTTCAGTGAACTAAATAGACAGCACCTTTTGTCTGTACTTACAGGATGTCACTTGAGTAGGTGGTCTTTCAATGTGGCCCAGGACGCATTAGCGTTTACACTACAAAAGATATGCGGTCAAATGTGTACCAGACCACCTTGGCAAGTGGTCTGAGTGATCGGATCACAATGCGTCTCGGCAGTCGTTTACACTGGTCCACAGATGCATTCTAATACCACCTGTGAACCCCTCTTAGTCTCTTGTGACTGTATTTTCTTTCTGTAATTTAGCAAACTTTAAACATTCTGTCCTGAGATTTGGGGGTTATTTACTTATGTTTTCCTTTTTAACTTAAGTCAGTGAATTGATGGCAACCAGGAAGTTATTCATGAGGCTGGCACAGACGTTCTTTGATATCTGGATTGGATGGTCTGGTTTATTTTCAACAAGACACGCTGACACAGACACAGTTCCATGTTTCCATCAATATATATATATATATATATATACATATATAAAGTATCACAAATATAATTTGTATAACTTTAAGCCTTAATATAATTTAAATGGGTGAGTTCTATAAAAATACACCCCCCATACAGTCAAGAATGTGAAATTAGATATAGAGACCAAAATTGTTTTTCCTCCAACTTTTTTTAGTTTCCTTGTCTTTCTGTGTGTTGTTACTGTGATTCTGTTTTAGCCAGGATATTTTATATTTCAAAACAATTGTATTTGATTAAAAGTCTGACAATTAATGACCACATTCTTAAAAGCAGATAAATATAGTCAATGTTCCCCACATATGTGCAATCCTATGTGATTTATTTAAACAGACAGTAAGTGTTGTGTAGTATTATAATTAAACTAATGAATAGCCTTTTAAATGCATGGTATGCTGTTTTTCTAGGAATCAATAGAGCGCCTTCTTTGAAGTAGGTAACTACTGCTCTGGACAGGCAGGGGTCTTTAAGTTGACTGACTGCTATTTAAGAGCAGCAGGAGCAGCTTAAAAGAAGATTCTCACTCTCGCCGACAAAACCATGAAGTTCTACACAGTATTGGCCACCACAGGTTCAAACTGAGGTTAAATGTGCTATAAATATTGTGAGAGGAGAGAGCGAAAGAACAGGGATGAGCACCTGCACATGTGGGAGTGTACACACACACACACTTGTGGTAACAGCTTTACAGCTGGACACTGGACTAGAGAGACAGGAGAATGAGTGGTATGTGGTCTGTGCAGATGAGCAGCAGCTTTGAATACGTCCTGTGGCGTTTTTACTTACATAAAAGATGATGATTTATAATATCTCCTGGAGCCTGAGGTTATTAAGTGATTTATGTAACACCTTCCATACACTCCTCTGTCATGTTATTTGGTGATTACAGCACATTTTAAATGACAGTCTTCAAGGTTTTAACTATATTTTTTAGCCTAACCTAAAAAGAAAGCCCAAGGCTAGTTTAACCTTGTTTCACATTTGTATGTATTAACCAATAATTAATGTATATCACATTAAAACCAAGGCAGATTTTTCACAGCTTATAGTTTGTTCAGGTTAAACTGTCCAAGAAAAAAATCTTTTGCTTCAATTATTACCTTAATTCAAACTAGTTATCTTGACCATGTGACCAAATCCTACACACTGGTCTTTTAATCTTGGTTAACCTTTAATCTATCAGGATCTCAAAATGGTTTACACAGTTACATTAGCGATGGTTTGTGCTTTCAAATGATGTATGGTGCATAGTCTAACAAAGAATTCAAGCCCCTCCAGGCTTGTATTTGGGCCACTGTTTGTTATCAATAATGGATACAGTTACTTATCAAAAGACATTTCGTAATTGGTGAGCAAAATTGCTCCAGTGACCTGTTAGATTTGGCCCAAGACTTTGAGCATTGGCTATATATTGTGTACTGTAGCATTAAGTAGCTATCAAGGAGCCATCAAGTGAGTTTACAACCAACTGACTTGCGAGGCATTTGGACAACATGAACATGAAAGCATGAGATCATGCGAGAATCCATTTTGCCAGGCTTCAATCTATGCGCTTGTGTCCAACCACAGGGGTTCGGAAGAATCAGTGTCCATTGACAAACTGTGCTGTTTGAAATGTATCTATGTTTACCCTTCTTGGTGGGCTTCTGGAGGCAAAACCAGGTCTGGCAATAAGAGGCACTTCACTACACCTGTGTGAGGAGCCAGCATGCATTGGGCATTAGGTAGATTACACCTGGACAGGTTGCCAGTGAATCGTAGGGCTAAAACATTCACACCTACAGTAAAATTTAGAGTCACATATTCACCTAACCTGCATGTCTTTGGACTGTTTGAGGAAACGACACAAAAGCGGACAGAACATGTAAACTTCACATAGAAAAGGCTCCAGATAATGAGTAAATCAACATAAGAAATGGAAGTTCTCCTAAATCATTTATGAGCTGATAATTAGCTGTATATACTGGATTTCATCTCTACAAATACTTGGAAAGTGTTTCATCATCAGTCTTAAAGTAATAAACTTTCAGTGTCAAATTCTTATAAATAAACTTTTATTAGCTAATAAATAAAAAAGAAAATTTTAAGAGTGCAGAATACCAAGTGATGTTTCCAACTCAAAAAGGAGTGGTCAGTGTGTGTGGAGGCCAGAGGAAGAGCAGATGCTTTTCTGCCAACGTGGCAAAACGCAGGAAGAGCGAGGGAGAGAGAAGAGAATATTTCAGAGAGTGGATCATCCTGTCTTTACACATAATGCATCCCCAGTGTTATTGCTGGCAGAAAGACAACCCAGATGAGGGGAGCATTCCAGCAGGCGGCCCCTGCCAGTGCACACCTCCAACACGAGCACCCAGGATCAGATGCCTGGGGTTAATGAAAGATGGAAGGCAGCCCAGGAAGGTAACTGGACTTACGTGGATCGCTGACGGTGAGGTTCTGAGCCAATGAAATGTTGGCAGCTGATATAAATCTTACTAACACAACTAACAGCTGTTTAAAATATTCACATTATATTTAGAGTTTTAGGAGATTACAACTGGATTGAACTCTGTTTCCCTACGATACACACTTAAAATAACACATGGGATTTATGACATAGCAAATGTCTAAAAGGCAGCGCTTTCTTAAAGCTGCAGTGGGTAATTTCTAATTTTATCATTTTTTGTCATATTTGCTGAAACTTTCACTATATCCTGACAGTAATATATGAGACAGATAATGTGTGAAAAAAAACAGGGTTCCTCTGGCTCCTCCTAGTGCTCCTAATGGCATTTGTAAAAATCCACCAGACCTGAACAAAAACAACCAATCATAGTCAAGAAACATTATAGTTAAATCTCATTTCCAAGTTGTCAAATATTGATGCTGGGAATGAGACTCAACAATAGAGCAACATCATTATGTCACTGTATATGTCTCCAACTGTAGCTATTGTAACCAAGGTTATGCTAGTTGGCTTACATCAATGCTAACTTCAAACGTAAAACAATATTACGAACGAAAAAAACAGATTTTAGTGGCTATGCTTGCCTGGGTAATGTTAGCTAACTAACAGCTAGCTAGTTAGCGTGTCAGCTCAAAATCACATCCCTAACATCTATGTTATACATAATAAATACATAGCTGGCTGCCCAAAAGGTGCCCCCCTCCCACGCTGAAACCAGATTACTTGGCATAAGAGCCGGTACTTTGGCTGTCGAAACGCAAAAAAGCTTCAAGATTAGACACCGGCTTCAAACCAGCACTCAAACTGCCTTGGTGGAAAAGGGGTAGGTAGGTGGGTGTGTGTTTGTGGGAGGTACCCTTCAGAACTGGGTTGGCATCTACACTGTGACTCCACTTATGCTACTGATCTCTGTTCTGCTCGATCAAGCTTCAATAAATACTGAGGCGTAAATAATCTTATGGTCTCCTGAAAACGTATTCAATATGAGCGAATCATCTATCATAAGAATTCCTTCACACTCTGTAACAGGTGTTTTTCACTGTTTGTCGACATTTAGACACTGGCTGATGAAGTGCAGTGGGGCATGAGAGCAGCAGGCCAGTACTCACCAAGGGTCCTGAAGGGCCTCTGCTGGGGCACCAATGAGAAGAAACCAGGCTTCAGGGCGTTTGTGATGATGACGTCAAATAGCTCTTCGAAATCCTTCCTGTAAAGGGCCAGATAAACAACATTAACCTCTGTGATGGGCACCTGGCCACTGTGTGAAAGACAATGCCTGGACAGCATCCAAATACACTGTGTTACACAAGCACAAATAGCTCAGTGAAGCTAAACACTCTGTACAGATGATGGAGAACATGGAGCAGTAAACAGTGTACGCATAGGGAATACTTAGACCAATAGAGTAAACACTATGAGAGGGCAGTATACACTCTCATACAGATACAGTTTAGAAGGGGTAGAGAGCATGTTTAGAGCTGGTTGGTGTCTCCAAGGAGACCTACACTACTGTATGTAGACAGTATGTACAGTGTATGTAAGGAGGATCTTCAATATAAGGTGAGATGCAAACAGCAGCTTTATGAACCAGGACAAACTTCTTACTGAGAACTTATTAACATGTAAACCATCAGTTTGATGTGTGAAAGTGTGCATACTATGTGGTGAGCTGAGCAGCTTACCTTACATAATCAGTATACCCTAAATAGACTGATGCTTGCTGACATCATTTTTCCATACTGAACCCCCAATTTGCTTCCTTGATGCCACAGCAAATCGGTGGTGTGAATGTGTATGAAATGGTTAGTTTCTGTTCGATGGACTTTGCCATCCTGTAGTTGCGCTCCTGACGTGGTCGGAAGACTGAGAAGGCGCATTACAAGTACAGGTCCATTCCATTTACCTGATACTTGTCCACACTGTACACTGATTGTTTGTACTTTGAGGGTTTTGGGGTTGAATGTTGAGGGGAGGCCTTGAAAATAGGTTTTCCACTGAATTTAGGGGTCTGAAGAACAGATGACGGATTAATCTCTGGGGAAAAGAAAAAAATTACTTCTGTTTATTGGGACCAGGATCACGTAGGGGTGTAATAAAGGTGACTTACGTGTTAAATTACAGTCTCACGTGAGTGATGAGGTCCCACTTAAACACAGTATGTTCTGCCAAGATCACAGTTACAGGAAAAACTA